TAATTTCATCCTGTTGCTCTTAAATGATGGAAATGCTGGGGAAAAGTATAATGTTCTATTCTAGAACAGAACCAGATGCTAAAAATAAGGATGGGAAACCTTTGACCTTTCAGAGATTGCTGAATTCCCAGCATCCTCTTTTAATGGTCATATTTTACTGGGGCTATGGATGGCTGTGGTTCAGCAACAGTTTGAGGGGCACAGAGCCCCCCCCCCCCAAATTGGGAAGGTTATTAATATTTTAGCTTTGTACTGCTTGATGTAAAATATAGCAGGAATCATTTTGGACTGAACTAGTAAATTAAATCGTCTTTATTAAGACTCAAATAGTTATTTAAACCATGATTATTTGAACTGAAATAGTGATTTACATCCTGGCTGTTTTTAAAATAACCCAATGTTTCCTGACAGTTAGAACTAAGGGGAAATTTCCTGATATTTAGGACAATTAATCAGTGGAATGATTTGTCTCCGGAAGTTATATGTGTGCCACAATGGTGGTATTCATTTTTTTTGTTACCAGTTCTGTGGGCGTGACTTGGTGGGCATGGCTTGGTGGGCATGGCTTGGTGGGCGTGGCAGGGGAAGGATACTTTAAAATCCCCATTTCCACCCCATTCTGGGGGAAGGATATACTGTAAAATCTCATTCCCTCCCCATCCCACTAACCTGCTTTCCAGCTCTGTTCTCCTGTGCAGGGCAACAAAAGAAGACCCAGCCACCCAGCGGCAGAGAATAAATGGGGGTGGGGCCAGTCAGAGGTGGTATTTACCGGTTCTCTGGACTATTCAAAATTTCCGCTACTGGTTCAGAACTAGCTGAATACCACCTCTGGTGTGACAACACTGGGGGTTTTGAAGAAGAGTTTGGACAACCATTTGTCTGAAATGATATAGGATTTCCTTTGAACAGGGGGTTGGACTAGAGGATCTCCAAGGCCCCTTCCAACTCTGTTATTTTGTTATTTTTCTGAGAATATTTAAACCTTGAAAATACTGTTTACACTGATAATGATTTCTTAAGTTTTGATCACTTTTGTGAATTGTCCTTACTTCTGACATTTTTTTTAAATGAAATGAAAAGAGAGCAGCCACCTATTGTCAACTGCTGTATTTATAAATGTATTTATATTTCTCTTTTTCCCTTTTAAAGCAAATAAAAACTAACTCAAAGTAGTCTGTGTGATATTTGTCCACATATGGAAACAATTTTTAGGGTCAAATTGCTTGGCCCTGAATCAGATTCTTCATCTAACAAATGCAGCTTAGCTATTCTGCTCAAAGTCCCCTGAGCCTTTCATTTCCTTAAATAAATGTTTTATATTGTTACTAGAAAAAAAAAACATATGGGAAAGTATGTTGAAAGATTGATATAATCCAAAGGCGAGTGCAACTTAGTTATACAAGTTATGTTGTGCAAAACTTTTAGTACTGATTATTTTCTAATGATGTTTTGAACTTTAATCCAAATTTTGTTACTATTATTTTCAGGAAGTTATTTTTCCATCTCAAGTACAATGGCCTATTACCCAATGCAGGGTTTCTTAAGTAGCAAGATGCACTATTTCCCTCTTAGTAAACATGGGGATTAATACCATGAGTGATCAAGGATCTCTAAACACTGTAATTTTAGCCACTTTGTCAAAAGGAAACCCAATTAGAAGGTATCATTTGTGGATCTGAGTGTAATTGTGAAAGTCGACTTAATGCACTGTACAGTCTACTCTACACACTTTTATTCCTATGTCCAACTGGCCAGGTTCCCTTTTTCATGCTAAGTCCCCACTTTTTGTCTTAACACGCATCATGACATATCAGTGTCTAGGTGTGCAGAATATATTAAACTATCAAAATGCCAAATGATCAGTTATGGAGTAATAAAATGTATGAGTGTAGCTGTAATAGTTATTGTCTGGAGTATATTACAAATTTATATCTAATAAATTCATGAAGAATTTCACCAGTGCTAAAGTTGCAATTGTACCACGCCACCCAAGAGTAAGAAACCATGGGAATAAGCCACCATCTTAGGCTAAGGGCTATCTGTTTTAAGTTCTGTATCTCACCATGTCCAGCCAGACACATCCAGGAAGAGCACAAGGAAGACATCAGCAAAATGGTGTCTTTCACTGCAGTTGTTTGATTTGATTTCAATATTTACAGGGCTCATAGGGCATTCAAATCTACTGATTTTAGTTAATCAGGATTAAAATCATAGAATCAGTTAAAAATATCTCCTACATACTATTCCTGTGGAACTGAGAATCATGAATAAAAACATCAAGAATTGTAAGTACAAGAAGACCACTGTAGATGTTTAGTCTTTAATAAGAATCTTAGTGGATCAACTTCTGCTTATGAATGTCTCATAACATTATCCTCTTTCACAGATAACTGTCAGAATATGATAATAAACCCATGCCTTATTTTCATACTCTTCTGTGAAGGGGTAGGATTCTACCAGTTTGCACCTATTTGCTAGAACCGGTTGTTAACATTCTAAGCAGTTTGGAGAACCGGTTGTTAGAAGAAATTACTGGCCTAATCCTGTAAGGAAGGAAGGAAGGAAGGAAGGAAACATTTTGGTGTTGCTTACATAAACTGCCCCTCCGTTAACCCTTCCTGTCTCAGGAACTTCTCTGGAGTTTTTTCCCCTCCTTTGTTGGTACTTTGCTTGTGTGGAGTGACCATTCAAAGTTACAATGGCACTGAAAAAAGTTACTTATGACAATTTTTCACACTTATGACTGCTGCAGCATCCCCACAGTCATGAGAGGCCAGGCGAGGAGATGCATGCCTCGATGTGAGTGATATTGAGTTGGCCACATCCAGCCAATAACATGATCACCAAGCCATGTCCACCCAGTCACATGACCACCAAGCCATGTCCACCACCTAAACCACACCCACAGAACCGGTTGTTAAAAAATTTGAATCCCACCCCTGCTGCTATGGCAACTTTCTCCATCCTAACATCTTCTAAATATGCACATTTCTAGGCAACCAGTAAATCTGATGTCCAAGCATGTAATGAGATCTGGAGCTATGACTTCTCCAGTGTAAGTAATAAATAGGAAGTACTATAAAATATTTCCATTTTTTGATCTTAGGAAGCTGTTAATAGTTAAAATAGGTAATATTAACTAGACAAACTAACTATCTTGAGGTAACATTTCTATATTTGTTTTCCTTATATTACTGCCTTCAATATAATCTGATCGTAATACTCTCTTCTGATTATCAATCATTATAGTATTCTTATCTTATTTTTAATAGCATTATAAGGGTGCATAATTCCTACTTAGCAGAGTGAAAACAAGACCTGAGTTTTATTATAATATGCTGACACTTGTCTATGAAAGGAAATAGTGTTATGAGACAATCTTAAGCAGAATTAGATCCATTCAGGTTATAAGCTAAATTGGATGGAGAAAAGAAATGGTAAATGGGCAAGTGGCTGGAATTGTGTCCTATGTGTATATTCAATTATGTCTGGTGAGTCTAAATTATATTAAATTGAAGCACAGGATGTAGTCCAATCATTTTTAGAAAGATTGGAGCAGTTTCAGGGTCCCTCCACCCACCTGAGTGCCTGCTAAAACAAAGGCTTAGAATTTGAGGAATTTGCATGCTGCCTGTTCATCAATACCATCTACCTCATCTTTTTTTTTTTCTGTGCTATCAGCACAATTGCACTTTTCCTGTTCTGGAAAAACTCTTAATTCCCATGACACAGCTGCTAATAGTTATTTTTCTATATAGAAAGTGCCAGGCAGATCTGTGGCAGAGCTGAGCAGCTGCATTTTCCTCTCTCTCTCTCTCTTAATAAAGCATACTAGGCCAGTAATTTAGGTATGAACAAACAAAATGAAGTAAAACATTTTAAGGCTATGGACAGCAGAACTAAACATCTCCTCATGTAAAGGTTGAATTCTGAGAGGAACAACATCACTTCTGATAGGTGTAAGAAAACTTTTTATCATCGAACATTATATTCCTCAAAACCTTACTTAATCTGCTCACTTCCAGATGCATTGGGGGTAATCTGTGAACTTTATTCCAACACATTGAGAAGATACCAAGCTAAAGAAGATTAAATTGGTTTCAGACAGTGAAATCTGAATTCAGGGATCAAAAAATGGTACCCATGATCAGAGCTGCTATGTTGTTGTTTTTTAACACACACCTACCTCACCCAAATCTATCTGATTGGGGACCCACTGCCAATGTTGAATGAAATTGAATGAATGTATAGGTAAGACTAAAAAGTGTGAAGCCTTTCATTTTTTTTGTTTGGTGGGGGAGAGGGCTAATTTTCATTTCCCTTTCTGTTGTGAAGCTGATAATCAGGAAAGTGGCACAAAAAGTGTTATCTACTTTTTGTATTGATATGTGGTAATAACTTTGAGAGACCTGGTGAAAAGATGCTGCCTCAGGAATTGACAGATAAGAGGGAGTATATAGCCCATGGATGCATTATAGGTGGAGCAAAAGGCTCTGAAGGATCCTCCCTATCTTATGGGGCTGTAAAGATAAGGGGAGGGAAGAGACTTGTAAGATTCTATTAATGTAGCTTTATAATAAAGCAGAGTTAGCTTATCTAATTATCTGTTTCCTATCTGCTGTGCATAATAAGGATGAAACTTTCAAATCATTTCGAAGTAAGCTGAGAACTACTTTAACCTAATGTGAGATTCAAGTTCACAGCACAGCTTTAGGAGAAAATAAATAAACTCTTGCCTTTCATTAAGAGATGGTGAATATTTTATTTTATATTGTGAAGGTTGTGAAGATTAGCACACCTGGGCTGTATAACATGTCATTTAAAGAAATTGTTTCTGTGTAAAATGACTATATATTCAGTAGTACCAGAGTGTATCTATGGAATAAGAACAACTCATTAAGAAAATGTTCAGGAAGGCCAGATGCAACCATTTAATTTCACTGAAATTACACATTTATACAATGGTAAGCATTTATTTAGTCTCAAATGTGATCTACTTTCTTATTTTTTAAATGAATACTTATAGTTTAGTTGCTCTCCAGTAAAAGGGAAAAAGGGAAAAAGGGGAAAGGGGAACAGAAATGGCAATTCCTTGGCCACTCAAGGAAATGATGTGGAGAACTGGTCTCATCTGGTATAAACTTCAAGTTTTGTCACATTTTCTCATAAACTCTTGTACACAGGGCACCTTTCATGATGCATTCCTAAAAAGGGGAACATAATTTGAGATATAAGACAAGTCATAATTACACGATTAGCCTCAATACTATTATACAATATATTTATAAAAATATAAAGTGGGAATTCATATTTTAAAAAAAGAATAATAAAAGCTTGCGTTGAATAATGTAGCTAGCAAGTTTATATGTTTCAATTTTGGTTTCTTTTCCAGCCTTCTTGTACAGTGTCTCTTATGGTACTGCTGCCTATCAAAAGGCAATGATCAAAATCCAAGATGCCTTTGTTTAATTCTAAGGAACACAAGATTTAATACAAAAAACAAGTCAGCATGTGCCTGGAACTTTCTCTGAATGCTAATGATCAACATGTGAAACTGATTATTCCAGTCACTTAAAAATTGCACATGTATGTATAATTTTAATTTATAACGAGTGAAACAATCTTAAATTTAGCTTTCGAAGAAGGTGGAACAATGATGAACCAATCAAATGTTTATCTAGTCTACACTAGGAAAGCCAAAAAGCAGGATAGGAACACAATGTTCCCCTGAACTACATTGATTAGGAAATAATGCAAAGAACTTACTGTTTTGTAAGTATCCTATAGCTATCATGAATAATAACTACAAATAATCTTTCTTTCATTTTCTTTACAACCATTCAAGTTATCAACCATTGCTAAATTATGAGGTACCAGATTCTACCTGTTAGCTTCCTTTAATCAGATTTAACCATCTAACCATTCAGCTTCACTGCATTTATATCTGACAGTTTGAGAAAAATATCTCAACGTGCATACTTTTATTATATAATTTTCTTCTTAATTTGCTACTTCTGCCTAATGTAAAAAGCTGAAAATACCATTACTCAGTTGGACCCTTTGAAAGTAGTCTTGGTTTTAATCAAATTGGCTCATGAGTATGTTTTAACTGATGAACACCATCCTAAAATCAAAATCTGCCTTAAACTGGACAACTATGGAAGAACATATTCAAATCCATCCATTCAGGAACTCTTCTCTGAGCAGATAAAAATGCACTTCCTGGTAAGCCGCACATTTTTATTCTTTAATTTTTAATATGTATTTTCAACAGGGTACCCTTTTCATGTATACAGCTGTCATCAAAATATATACCTTGCCATTCAAAAGTTGCTAAGATTGCAATAAACAAATTATACAAATGAACACCCTGTAGTTTTCTTGATTAAGAACTACTTACCACCACCATTCTCCCATCAATTAATTTCCTCCTTATTGTCGATTCCTTACCATTCCATTTCTGCACTTGAACCAGCGCTCCTTTTTCTAAGGTTACCACAGTCTGTAGACCCAAATAGTAATTATAAAAGTTATCATTTTGACATAGATTAGGTACAATAAAAATGTGAAGTACTATGAAACCACTCCCATGTATAAGACACACACACTCTCTCTCTTTCTCTTCCTTCTTCCCTCCCCCTCCCCCTCCCTCTCTCTGATTTATTGATCTATCATCTATATATATATCCATCTATCATCATTTTCATCTTCATCTTCTAACACTTAGGAATAATTAGCTGAGAGAGAAAAAAAGACACAAATATCCTGTTTGTCACACTGGACAGCAGTTCTTAGCTGTCCAGTGGTGGCTGATCTTGAAAAAGCTAACTAAAACTTGGATGATAGGCTACCAAGAGACAGCAGGGCAAGAGACTCAACCAAGAAGTCAAAATGCACCCTGGAAGAAAGTTCAGATAAACTACTTGTGTATTGTTGATATGAAAACAATATAGATGAGTCCATGAAGTCACCAGTCAAGCTGTTCCCTATATCCATTTTGCTATTTTTGAATTGTGCTTGTGGGTTGTTCCATCATAGTCACTTGCAATCTTGAGCTTTACTACTGTATATTAAATAGCTACAGTTTTATTAGAAATAAGATGCCAATTATTTTTCTGCTATTGAATCACAAACAAATGACCCTTGATATATATTCTAGTATATCTTGATGATTCCTTTACCTATTTTTTTCTGCTTTATCATCCACATGATTTATGCTCAGTTCTCACATGCCTCTTTTGGTTTGGGCCTTGTTTGCTTTATCTCCTTCAAATTATTATTTGTGAATAATAATAATAATAATAATAATAATAATAATAATAATAATAATAA